AACAGGAAAGGGATCAGTGTCAGGCCAGTCATGTTCCTCCACCCAAGTAGGGTTAGTTGAAGCCGTTAAAACAGGTTGTTCACTCTGAACTAGAGCGTTAGGTTCTTGGTGAATGAAGGGAGCTGCAAGAAGTAAAGTCTGGTGTTCAGAAGCTACGAAGAGGCTGCTGGGGTCAGAGAACATATCATTGTCCCTCTGAGCTTGTGTAAATATTATCTGATGGCTTTCTGTGGGGTTTAAAAGTAGTTCCTGCTTTAAGGGCGCAGCAAACACAGAAAGAGGGTCCAGTGGGTTTTCAGTTAGGACTAGCAGCTCTGTTTGAGAGTTTGTTTCGATTGGAACGGAAGCCTGATTCTCCTGATGAGGGAAAACCAGTGGAGCAGAAACTTGCTGCTGACCCACACTGTCCATAGAGCCTTTCTGCTGATCAACAGTGTCTTGAAACGCGAAAGTTTTCTCAAGCATTAAAGCAAATTCATTCTTCTTCACGCAGTGGGACTTCATATGTTTTTTCAAATTGGAAGCAGTGATACAGACGTAGTCGCACTGTTGGCAGTGCACCAGTTTATTTCCCAATCTTGACAAAACTGAATCTTCCCCACCAACTATATTATCTCCCCTGTGGACAAGAAGGTGAGCCCGCAGCCTTGACCTGCGTATACAGGAATAGCTACAGTAGGGGCATTTCTCTGGCTTGGCCTTGCTGTGGATCAGCAAATGCCGCCTGTAGTCTGCAAAACGATTGGTTGGGTACTGGCAGTGGTGGCATTTAAATTTGTAATGGTTAGCGTGGGTTAGCATGTGTACCTTTAGCCCAGCCTCTTTTTTGTATTTAGCATCACAAATGCTACATTTGAATGGTGTTTCTGTCTCATGCAACAGTAGGTGAGCCTTCAGTTGAAACTTCTGTATGCAGCTGTAATCACACAGTGAGCACTGGATGGGTTTTTTGCTCCCATGTGTGAGTTCGTGAATCTTCATGTTTCTCTTTCTATGGCAGCTATAGTCACAGTAAGAACACTTGTACTCTTTGACCAAGGAATGTATCTTTAAGTGCTCTTTCAAATTGGCAGACGTTTTAAACATTGCACAACAAACATGACACAAATACTTGGCACAGCTGGGCTTTTTTCGTTTCAATGCTTTAACGCCAATCCTTGAAATAGAAGCCAATTTGGATTCACTAGTTTGGTCTGAGTTGGATTGTATAGTAGAGCTTTCTTCAGGAGCTTTATACTGAGGATGGTTTTCTTGGTTACTAAATCTCTGTGGATGAAACTTCAGTTTAAAGCTTTCAACATCCTTATGACATACTTTGTACTGCATGGTTTTTGTCTTGCACTTTGGTTTTGCACCATGACTTCTCTGTTTAGGTTTCATCTTATTCTTAAAACTGTCAACATCAAGGGTAATGTTGCTTGGGGTCTTGGAACAGACAATGTGATTTATACCTGAAGTCATGTTTCAGTTAGTGTGCAGTATCCACCCTGTTCTGTTTGGGATTTTAAAAAAAAGTATAATTAGTAATTAAATTTTTAAAAATTTAATTGAATACTGAACATGGCTAGATCAAACTATACAGTCGTATAAGAGATAGTGATTTTATGAATGTAAGAAAATACCTCACATTTTTTATAATGGTCAGTGCTCACACTTCTGGAAGAAGGGAATTGGGAATAATTACAATTACACCATTGGAAAACCTAGATGTGAATATTTGGGTCTGTGTGCCTCGCCGGACATATAGACTGATCCAACACTACTTAGATTAGGTTCTGGCTTTTCAACCATTGAGACCAAATTTGGGAAGGCCAAAAGTTTGAGAGGGAAACACTCCACTAATGTGCATGGAAAAGAAATGGTAATGTAATTGATAATGAATATATATTTGAAATTTTGTACATACAACTAATAGAGAAGGAAAAGTCCATCCATAGATGTATTATTTTTAAAAAAATAGAAATAGATCATTGCAGGTAATTTAATTTCCTTGTAATATTCAAAATTAAATTGTAAAAAGTGAATATTAAACTCACATTGAGTTCTATATATGTATAAAGTAAAGTTTCCCCTTTCAGACCTTGCGATTTACGGGGCAGATGATGTTAACCTCATCTGTTCTATATGTAATAGATGAAATTTCTAACAGGAAACAGAGTCTTGGGTATATGCAGTCATAACTATTAAAACTATCAAGACTATTCTGGGTTTGTACATCTATTTGTTGAATGTTATATCCTATTTGTGAAAGTTCTGAACTAATAAAGATAAAAATGTAGAAGCCTAAAGGTATAATTCTAAATCAAAGTCTAGAAATCTGTTAAGCATTTATGACATTTATGATTATAATCATTTCTTTGTGATAGATGTAGTTTGTCCCTTGTGGCCACAAAAGTACCAAGTAAACTGCCTGGTCGTGCGGTTTGCGCGCTGGATTGTCGTTCAGATTTATCGGTGGTCCAGGGTTCAAACCCTGCCCGCTCCCATTCCCCGTCGTCCTGCGGGAGGTTTGGACTAGGAAGTAATTATCTTCAACTCTGAAGGAACATCCGAAACATGTAAAACATTTTACAAACACTGTAAGCTAAAAAAAAAAAAAGATTACTATAGTCTAGTTATTAAAATAGTTGACAGAAACTAGAGTTTAAGATAGAAGACACATCAAATTTTTTTTTGTGTGTGTGATTAGACTGTTTGATTTTTATAGAGGGTATTGAACTGGTACAAGAAGGAGTTACAGCCTTTGGCATAGGCCACTTTGACTTTGGGCCAGTAATTTAGCATTTCTAAGTCAACTAAGTGAAGTCTAAAGGCTAAAGTGCCACTAAAGTCTAGTTTGAAGTTTAGAAGTTAATCTACCATACTACTACACTAAAAGTAGTAATAGTATTACTAGTAAAGGAAGACTCCGTTTTAGTTTATACTTCTCTCAGTCTCTGGCCCCGGGTTCTCAGTCTTCAGATCCTCTCTTGAGCTACAGTGAACTACTAATAACTGTCTATAGATTATAGATCTATACTCTATAGAAAAAATCTATATCTGATCTAGACTAGATTACTGAGCAGATCTAGAGTACTAGAGATGCATATTTAACAAGTAGATTAGAAATAATCTAGAATTTTTCTAGATCGAGATTTTAGTAGTATAGTCTAATTTTATGACAACTGCATCCCTTTTATTTCAGCATTAATTCCCTTAGAGGAAATAAAGATCACAGACCTAGATCTAGATGACAGAACTATTTTAGGCTAATATATATAGGTCTGTGATCTAGAGTCTTATATAATAGATCTAGACAGAAACTTACAGCAGAGTTTTTGTTATAAATTAGTAATTAGGCACACAGGCATTCCTAAGATTCCTTTAAAAAATCGTTGATTTAATTTAGACTAGACTCTATATCTATCCATTAGAGATTAAATTTGTAGATCTAGATACTAAGACATTGATATTCCTGGATGATTGAAGAAGATTGTTTACTTAATTTACTGCTATAGTAAAGCTGAAGGGATTATGCCTAAAATACGGACGCAGCCCGCCTAAACGTCGGAATCTCTATCTCGGCACAAAGTGTAGAGATTCACATAAAACAATGGAAAAATCTACCTCATTTAGGTGTAGCTGGGGGGTCTCAATCTTTCTTAGATGGATTTCAGACAATGCGTAGCCAAACGGCGTTTTGAGTTTAAATTTTAAACTCAAAAACATATGGAGGGGTTTTGAACTTGGGATTTTACTCAAAACCTCTATTGGCTTGGCTACGCTCATAGAATTTTTAGTGTGTAATTTGCTTTTTTTTTATATTGAAGAGGTATTTTTCAGCATTAAACCCCGCTGAAGGGAGGGGCGGGGAATTTAAACTCAAAACGCCGTTTGGCTACGCGCATAGAATTTTGAGTGCGTAATTTTCTTTTTTTTTTATATATATTGAAAAGGTATTTTTTAGCTTCAAAACCCACTGAAGGGAGGTTTAAACTCAAAACCCACTGAAGGGAGGTTTAAACTCAAAACCCCTTTGGCTACGCTCATAGAATTTTGAGTGCGTAATTTTTTTTTTTATATTGAAGAGGTATTTTTTTAGCTTCAAACCCCGCTGAAGGGGGTTTTAAACCCCCTAGGCTGCGCTGGGGCAAGTGATGGTTTAGTATTATAAAATCTGACATAAAATAAACATAATGAAATAAAAAAATCAAACACTAAATTGCGGTGATTTCATTTCGGGGGGGGGGGGTGTTGTTGAACCCCAACCCCTGGCTATGAGCATGCTAGTTATTGTGACGTTTTGCACAGGCTACTTAGTGCAGACACTTGCTAGGTTTGACAAAACCCTAGTGAACTGAGTGTCATGGACACGTCAGATACACTCTACCTACCTGGTTTAGCCGGCCAGTCAAATCAGTTTCCGGTGTGTGGCCGTTGCGCATGTTGGTCGTTGTACTGGCCACATGACACCCTCGTTAACCGTGGACCACAGAAACAGATGACCTTTACATCATCTGCCCTATGGATCGCAAGGTCTGAAAAGGGGAACTTTAACTAGAAGAAACATAATGGAGTTATTTCATGAAATGTTGAAAATAGACAATAAACATTTCCCAAACCAAAAGAACTGCTGTATGAACTATTCAAATGTGTATATACTATGTAGATCATATTTGCATGTTCCTAGAGTATTTCAATCAATCATTAGCTATTTCTCTGCACCCAAAGCAAGATGTTTACACATGAACTATTTTGATTTGGAATTAACTTATTCAAGACCTACAATACCACATTTGGAATGATCTTCACAAATTTAATGGTAGGCCTACTTATGTTACATGATTCGATAGCGGCAATTTAGAAAGTGACAACTCAACCATTCACACTGCATTCAAGATTTTATTTCCAAAATGACATGTTCACTTTTAACCAATACTATGGTTTTATTTTTAGTAGCAGTAATAACAGTTTTATAACAGTAATTACAGTTTTAAGTTTTATATAAATCAAACAGCCCCCCCCCCCCCCCCCCAAGAGGATTCTAAAACAAAACAGGGGCCAAATCTGGGATCTTACATTACATGAGAGTTATGTATATTTCTAACACAATGTCAAAACAACACTATCCAAAGCTAATGCTGTAAAACGTTCAACCAGGTTTGAGATTTAACTGAAATGTGAAGCAACCACCACACACAAAATGAATGAAATATAGGAAAACAGTGTAAAATATTTATGTTTCAATTCTTCAGATCTATGTACATGCAAAGTACAAGTGTCATATACATTTCACATACATGTAATAAATAATATGCAGCTAATACAAAACCCATTCCATCAACCTTGATTTGAACTTATGAGCTGAAAAGAAATGAGGACCATGACAGAATGATCGAGTTGAAAAGCAAAGAACTGAGGAAGTATGTACACAAGGCAGTGCTGGGATGATCTAATCAGAGAACAGGAGACTCTTTCCTTATCAAGAGGAATCAATCTGAAAAAGAGGCAATGGATAAGCAGAGTTACAAATTTATGCAATTCTTTCAGACCTCCACAGTTTCATCAAAATAATTTAGTATCAAGCACTACTAGGATAAGACAAGAGAAAATAAAATATACTGAAATGATGTAATGTACAATTTCATTGTGAAGTAAAGCATCTAATTTTAGATCAGGATTTTACCATCGCAAGTTATTGCCCACATACATTGCTCATTTATTAGCCAGGGACATTGCCAGCATACAACAAAGGAACACGCTGTTCAAGTTAACTTATCAGCAATGCACAAAGCAAAAGCAAGATCTAATTTAAATTCAATAACTGGCCCGTTATATTACTAATTTGTAAAAAAAAAAAAAAAAAAAATGAATTGGTAAAAAAATTCTTGTAATTAACTTTAGCAGAAAAGTGAAGAAATGACTCATATGATCAAGTGACAGTTGTACAACTTGGGATAATGTAATGCTCTGGAGAAAAAAAAAACCAGTAAGAAGTATTATGCTCAAAATCAGCAACAAACAAGAATCCTTTAATCAATGATACTTCCTAGTTTGTGTTGTTCTATAAAAAGAATAGCATTATAGCTTTGAATGGAATGAATTGCATACAATAATAATTAACAATTAAAAATTCTATGCCGATCAAAATTTAATTTTACCTATATTCTATAAATATTTTACAGATGAAATGTATGTGTATGTTTTTCGGTCATGAACTAATTAATAAAAAAAAAAATTATCCTTTTTTTCTACATTAGTACAATCTTATTACTTTTGGATTTTAAAAATAAAACCTCTTTATATATTAATTTTTTTTTTCCAATCATTAAGTTACTGAATTTTTAAGTAAAATATAATAATTGTATTACAATCCTAAGTCTTTGAAATTAATAGTATCTGATTAATTTGTTGAAAAAAAAAGTGTATCCAACCTGCTCTTAACTATCACATAATACGTACTACAAACAACCAAGAGATAAGTTTAATCTAACAAGCTTATATCCAGTGGACGGAGCTGGTTGTTGGAGTTCTAAGGGATGAACCTATTGCTTTGTTCTGTTAACAAATTATTTTTTTTACATAAAATTGAAACTGACAAAAAACACAGCTGTGAGGAAAATTTTAAGATAATAAATCAACTATATGTCAGCACCATTATACTCTTATAGTAGGAATACAGAAAACTTGTGTTTTATATGTGCTGAACATCCGAAACACGCTTGACAGAGCCAACCTGATGGAAACAGAAGTTGCTCTGGCAGATAAACATTAGCTGTGAATGTAATTTCTATTTCAGATGTAATCAAATTAAATTATGTTAAGCCAGTAAGGAGAGAGCCTATGCAAAATCAAATTATCTTCCTAAGTTGAGCTAAGTGTTTCTAGAGATCCTGTGAACCGTCAATCTGCTTAAAGTCAATACTGAAAATGACATTGTCTGGAAGGTCAAGGTGTACTTTGGACAAGTGAGATTTAAGTCTGGATGTGCGGGTACAAGAAAAGTCACAGAATGCACAACGATACGATTTTGGCATGGTAACACCAACTTTACGGCTGGAGCTTCTCTCTTGGGAATGGACCAGCATGTGTGCTTTCAGGCGAGACTGGCGGATGCAAGAGTAGGAGCAGTGGGGACATTGCAATGGTTTCGACGACGAATGGGTCAACATGTGTCGCCGGAAATCTGCAGCACGGTTTCCAGCATAGGTACACATGCTGCATGCAAATTTTCTGATGTTTTGGTGGGACATCATGTGTATCTTCAAACTTTCTTCTTTTTTGTAAGTAGCACTGCACAAACTGCAGCAGAAGGGATGTTGGTACTTGTGTTGAAGAAGATGATTAGTAAGCTGTTTTTTTTGGATACATTTGTAGTCACAGTAAGTGCACTGCAGCGGCTTCTCTCCATGGATGAATTTATGTTTCTTTAACAAATAGGATGAGGAACAACCCTGGCCACACACATCACAAGTATAGGGTTTGACTCCATAATGTTTAGACATGTGGGACTTTAAGCCCTCAGAGGAGCGGCAAGTGTACTCACAATCCTTGCACTGGTAAGGTTTTTCCCCAGTGTGAACCTTCATATGATCTTTGAGGCCAATCTTTCTTTTACACGAAAACTCACAAACGTGACACTGGAACATCTTCTCGGTTGTGTGGCATAGTAAGTGATCTTTCATGCGCGATGTGTCGTTGCACATGTAATCACAGTGAGCACACTTGTACTTTTTCACACTTGAATGCTTCTTCTGGTGAGCAGAGAATGTGGATTTATAATCACAAGAGAAATCACATAGGTCACAGTGAAACCTTTTAGATTTAGAATGATTCAGTGGTGGCTTTTTCACTTGGGGAGACTCTTCTTCTGCCAACTCTTTTAATTTAGAAGGGCTAGGCTTGATGTCAGCTATCTCTGTAAAATCTGGTGGGGGATCAGGGAGTGCTTCAATCTGCTGAACTTGTTCAAACTGAGCCTGTGCCAGCTGCTGGGCAAATTGTTCAGGAGACTCAGTCTGAATAATATAGGTTTGGCCTCCGTCTGTTGTTGTAATTGTGTATGTTTCTCCAGCTTGTTTCCCAGCAAAGGCTGCAAAAGCACTGAAATGATCCTCGTCTAATTGCTCAGCCCCCCAGTCCCCATCCAGTTCTAAAGCTTGAGCAGCTGGTAGACTGATGTAAGTCGGCTGATTACTGGCTTCTGACTCGGCTTGCTCCAGCTCCATTTTCTGCTGGTAAGCTGCAGGATATGTTGTGCCAGTGTAGGTCTTTTGAGGAGCACTAGAATGTACTTTCATATGCCTCCTGAGCCGCGAAGGTTGCGTGCAAACAAAGTCACAAGACTCGCAGCGTATTACACCTTCATTGGTGTGTATAACTTTGTGATCTTTTAGCCTGGGAGCACTTAAGCAGCTAAAGTCACACAAATCACAACGCAACAATGGCTTGTCTTGTTGGTGAATTTTCATGTGAGCTTTTAATCGCCACTGACGAATACATGCGTAGCTACAAACGGTGCATTTCAATGGCTTATCAGAAGAGTGCGTCAGCACATGCCTTTTGAAATCTCCATATCTATTGCCAGCATAATTACACTGAGTACAACGAAACTTAGTAACATTTTCGTGTCCCAGCATGTGGACCTTCAAACTTTCTTCTTTTTTGTAGACTGCATTGCAGATTTTACAAACAAAAGGTGTATCAGTCTCATGCTGGATGAGATGAGCCTTCATCTGAAAGTTTTGGGTGCAGGAATAACCACACTGCTCGCAGTGTATGGGTTTGTTCTCAGAATGGATGAACATGTGACGTTTCAGGTGACTGGCTGTGTGACACCTGTATTTGCACTCTTTACATTGGAACTTTTTATCTGCATGAATGATCATGTGTTGGCGCAATAGTGTTCTTGTAGCTGATCTATAGGAGCAGACACTGCATCCAAATATCTTTGAGCCTTGAGGCCCCGTCAGTTTTTGCTTCTTCAATTTTTCATAATCAATTTTGACTGGGCCTTTGACATCGTCTTCATCTATTTCTTGTTTAATATCCAACATTTTTTTTTCTGGATTACAGTCAATTTCAATTTTAGCTGGAGTGGGTTTGAGTTCTGACAAAATAAGTTGTTTTTCGAAAGATGGAATAACAAAACGCTTTCTAATGACTGGTGGTGGTGGGGACATATGGTGCTGAGCCTGTAAAGAAATCAAGCTAGTTTCTTGAGTTGACATCAAACTTGTATCTTGATTTGGCATCAAGCAAGTTTCTTGAGTTGGCATCATATTAGTTTCTTGAGTTGGCATCATACTAATACTAGAATCTTGAGTTGGCATTAATACAGAATCTTGAGTAGACAGTAATCCAGTTTCTTGAGTATGCAATATGCCAGCCTCTTGTGTCGGCATCATGGTACCTTCAGCATCTGCTAACAACATGGCCTCATGAGACAGCAAGCCACTCTCCTGAAGTTGAATAAAAGTAGCCTCGCTGACAGCACCCATGGGGTCTTCAAGCATACTCTGCTCTATTTTTTCTTGAAACATGGCTCGTGAAACAGGTTCATAGATAAATTGCTGATCTAAGTCCATGTCTTGTTCCTTGACATAAAGTATTATTTCTCCGTTCTGGTTAAAAGGATCATGGGAACCCTGGCAGGCTGCCTCCACCATATTTCTCAGGTTGTCAGCATTGATCTCTGACAAGCTGACTGATGGAGGCAGGCAAATGGTGATGCTATTCTGTGGCACTGGATCCATGTTCTGTTCAAACTGCTTTTTAGAGTTCACACAATAAAATAACAGCTTAGAGGTATTTGTTGGAACACCTGCCAAAAAAAATAAAAAATAAATATAGCTTGGGTAAACAAAACTTTGAGAGAAAAAAAAATTATAGTAATTAGCCACAGGGTACTTAGTTTGAAATTTAAAACTAAAATAACAATTTCAAGAAACAATTATAAATATACTTGCATAGGTTGTTAGATATATTTTTAAATACTAATTTTTGTACATTACATAGTGAGATGTGAGAATAAATCTAGAATTTAAATAAACACTAACCTATACTATTCTAAAACAAAAATAAAATAATAATGATGACTGTTCAAAAGAAATGGAAACAAAAAGTTAAAATACTAATAAGGGAAATGAAATGTTTTTATTTTCTTCATGTACTGGGACAATTAATTATACCAATCTCTCTTACTTTAAAAAAAATAATAAATATAGTTCTTTAAATGGGCAGCCTAAACCTAACGTACCAACACCAAGCTTGTTACAATATCTAGATGCCAAGAATTCCAAACATGAAGCAACACAAAGAACAAATTACAATGACAGGCAAAGACAATTACAGAAATGTAACATCAAGAAATGGACAGGCCTCAAGCTTGATGATACCAAGAACAGAACAGTTGTAATAATTCCTTAATTACCTCTCACTATTCACCTACAAAGATGGCATCACAATGAGGAGATTTGAAACAGGATTGCAATGACAATCAAGCCCTACAATGACCTGCTAACCACTGTCAAAAAATGCAAACTAAAAAGGCCTTGACACAAGGTTCTCGGGGCCCACAAAAGACCTTCCTCTAGGTGAAATGGTCATTTATAACATATAATATTATATAAATCTCTCCAATCTGACTCTGTGCCGATTTTCATAATGATGGAAGTTACAAATTGAAAAACACAACAAATCTGATAAATAAAAGGTTTCTTTCATACAGACATCAAGTTAATTTTATATCACTTCAAGGTCAAATGTAAATTTTGGGTCAAACACGATAATATAATATAAATAATTTTTCCTTGAAAACCAACTAATAAAAGTAACTGGTGCTAAAGACAATTTACATTAACTTTACTCACATAATCATTAGAAGAAAGGCAGCTGGCTAAAATAGGTCAAGTTATAATTTAGTCTGTAAGTGTATTCAGCACTCAAGCACTGTATTAGTATTTGATATATTTGCATTTTTTTAGTTCAAGCCTAATCATGCCTAGCCCTAGTAATGGGATTCTTCACTGACTTCAGTGCTGTTTCTACATTCATAATGATAGAAAATGGACATGGATAGAAATCTATAAAGAATAGGACCTTAAAATGACACTGTCACTGACAAACTACATTGCCATCACTCCTGACAGTCTTCTCTACCTAGTGAACTAGTAGTAGGTCTAGATACTATTTAAAATTACAGCTAGAATGATTATCATAGCTAGATAGAATCTAGACCTAAATTAGAAGATGGGCATTCACTATTTTATAATTGCCAGGAGAGTATTTTTTTTATATTTGTATCTAGATCTATCTGCTGGTTACCTAGTACAGTACATATAATTTTATCATAATCATAGAACCTAATTAAGTTAATAACTTAAGTCTTGATAGGTCACAGAAACTGAGAAAGATCTGTAATTTTATCTAAAATCTAAATCTAGACTTAGACCTTATCATAATGATAATTTAAATCTAGATTATCTTATAAAATCTGACATATATTTTTATCATAAGTAGAGTCTAGAATGTAGACAAGGACATCTGGACTCTAAAAGTACTAAATCTTGATCTAAACATTTCGTAAGTTATTT